CTCATTAAAGCTGACACACAGGACAAAGACACTCTTAAAATCCCCAGTAATTCCATGAAAGCAAATTAGAGAATAGGTATTGATTAGTCTAGAAATGCAGAAGTAAAACAATGTTAAAGAAGAATCTTTCATGGTTGCCAGACGCTAAAACAGGAAAGACAAAGATTTGCTCACAAGGCAGAGCCACTGCCAAGTTAAATCCATATTTAAATCCTTCTCTGGACGGGAGCTGCATGTAAATGAATGCTCTTTGGCATCGTGCTCGAGCGCAGAATCCACGGCAGTTAGGTCGGGATGCCTATGCGTGCATAATTTGCATTTATTTTGGAGCTAATTTTCATAATTAAGCATAAAAAATTATGCCTCCGAAATAATTATAAAGATGAGCTATACGATGCACGTATAGCTGCCGATGCTGGGGAAGAGCGAGCTGAGAGCCTTGATTTTCTTGGAGTTTGATTATACTTGTGCAATTAGTGCATGCCCCGCTGAAGACTCCATGAAGCAGGATCTGATGGTAGCTTCTAACAGATTCTGCACTCAAAAAAGTAGTTTGTTCAATGAACTTAATTAAGGAAAACTTTCCCACGCAATTAGATTAGATCCGTACAGCAAGACTAAAACAAGTTCATTTGAACAAAAAATGTTTTGTTGAACCAACTTAAATCTATTAAGTTCCTATGTTAAATAATAACTAGCAGCAACATGTTAGTGTGCTAAAGATAATCACGCGTATTATTATTATTACATGTAACATATGGAATGAACAAATTAGAAGAGACTGTGTCAATACTGGCATTAGCACAGCTATTTCTCATTGAGTGAAGCAAAACGCATCATCGTCATGTACATTTATTTTCTCATTCAAGACGCCGTTTCATTCATATACATCACAATAGGGAAGAAAAGAAAATCTAATCACAACTTCCTTTTCATGACTATAAATAGGTATAACTTGTTTTCAGCATCAGCTAAAAGGTAAAGGCCAATTTGATTAGTCAAAGTATTTTACTGTCATGTTCACTAGATAGTAAGCTATCCTCACTACACTACACACTTTTAAACATGTTCAAAGGCCTTTCTGAATTTTTGGCTTTCAGCAAATCATTCAAAGGAAATCGTACTGTATGTTCAGCTGGGGACTGGGGATTGGGAATAAATGAGCGTATTAGTTGTGTGAGCTGCTGTGATTTGGCCACCGGCTCTGCAGCAGTAATGTTTCACCCTAGGCGAGTAGGAAGAGTGTATGTTTTATAAACCTCTCACACATGGACTGTAGGGCAGACTACTGGTATAAAAGTGATGAATGGCCGTTAAGAAAAGCTATAGAGGCAGGTGAAGCTCTGCACTGCTAGACTGGCTCAAGTAAAAAGAACAGTTGTAAAAAAGCCATTCGGGAAATGGCAAGTTTTTCAATCACTGACCTTGACGTAGAACATCTCATGACATCGGTCCTCAGTGATTTGGCAGATGGTTAAATTGAGCAGCTGACTCATAACACACTAAACCACAGAAAGGAGGAGGCTGTTTCTCTCTCTCTCTCTCTCTCTCTCTCTCTCTCTCTCTCTCTCTCTCTCTCTCTCTCTCTCTCTCTCTCTCTCTCTCTCTCTCTCTCTCTCTCTCTCTCTCTCTCTCACCCACACACAAACACTCTTTCTGTTTCTTTTTCATATGAGCAAGATTATTTGTTTATTTGATTTTTATATTAGACAGGCTGATTTGATCATTTTTGCAGGAATAAAACTGATGGATAGTCATAAATGTATATATACGAAATTCCTCAATGGTCCTCAGAGAGGAACTTCCCTATGAGGTAATTTCCTCTGTTTAAAATACTGAACACATGTCTCCCCTTTTACACATTCCACCTCTGACACTGAATGAATTACACCTCACAGCCTCATATCTGCCTCATAATCTAATGTTTGCGCTTGTTTCCCATTTATTTAGTATTTTTTTTCTTGTGCTCTGATTATAAGTCTTAACATGTGACCTAAAATATGACCCTGTTTACCTAATATTGTGTCAGAAATATTTTCCTTCATATCACCAAACACTATCCAGAAATTATTGAAGTACAGTAAAAAAAATTACGGGATGTGTTAAATGAGAGAAAATCCCTTTTCTGAGTTTAAAAGGCCCCTGTGGTGACTGACCTGCTCTGCTACACACACGACTCTGGTCTGTGTACACTGTCTCTGGCATTATATCAGACCACACACACACACACACACACACACACACACGTGTGTGTTAGACCTTGTGTTGGGAAAAAGAGGAACTCGCTCTCTCTCTCTCTCTCACACGTGCCTTTTTTAACTTTAAGCTATTTGTGTACCTCTTGTTTTAATCATGTGAGAGCAGAAATTGTGTATAAGATAGGCCTATATTGGATGGATAAATTGATAGAAAGAGAAATAAAGAAGGACAGATAGAAAGATAGATGGATGGAAAAGGTTTGGAAGAAAGGGAAAATACAAATAAGAAAGGATGATATAAAGATAAAGAAGGATGGATGGATGAGAAATAAGGAATGGTGGATACAAAAATATGGGTGGGTGGGTGGATGGATTGAAAGAATTGGAAAGAGAAGTATTGATGAGTGAAAAGAAAGAAGGAGGGATAGATGGATGGTTGAATTAAAAAATAAAGATGATGTATTCAAAGAAAAGAAAGAAGAACGGGTGATAGAAATAAGGAAGGATGGGTGTAAAAAATAAAGATGAGTGGATTAATTAAAAGAAAGGGAAAGAAAGAAGGATGGATGAGAATGCAGGAAGGATACATGAATGGATGGATGTAAGAAAAGGGATAAAAGATGGATGAATGGAAAAAAGGACAGATATAGTAAGAAGGAAGGATATATGGAAGGAAAGAAAAAGGATGATAAAAAAGAAATGACAGATGAAAAGAAAGATGAATGGATAGGAAAGAAAGGGAAGCATGTATGGATGTATAAATAGATTAGTAAACAGCAATCAAACTTTCTCTCTGTGTCTGTAAATAATTTGTTCAATATATGCAGATGTTCAGTTGATAGTGATTTCAGTTTATGTCACGCTCAGCCATGCAGTACAAAGATCACAGTTTTGCATATGGTCGACATTATTATGAAAATAACACTACACATTTATACATCGATGTGCTTTTTTAACCCTCTGCTCAGCGTCAGTGTTTCAGATCACCATAATTCCCCCCGATTGTTTACTCGCATTTGATCCATGTTATAATGGGCTGGAATCAGATAAAAAAGAATTGTTGAAATGACAAACATGGATTATCAATAGTGTAGAGAGATATTGATGTTTTCTTCCTCTCCAATTTTGAGGCTGATACACGAGACTGAAGAGCGGAATGTTGTTACCTGCGCAACAATATTGGCTCAAACAGCCTGAAGAAGCCAGAAATCATATATCTTTACCCAACAGCCTCAGCCAAATGTAATTTTCAAAGCCAGATATTGTTTTTGTTCATCACATACCAGATGTTGAATCAAGTCAATTGCGTCAACTTTACGTTTTTATATATTTATCCGTTTCTGTGTTTTCTGTGGCTGTCTTTTGAAACGGGAGGCATTGTAAAATATGAGGTTTATCAAACTTTCAGCGCTCAGCTATTTTGAAGAGCTTCGGCAATACATCACTGACAACTCCGAGCGGCCCGGCTGCACCGGCACAGGCTCGTCAGCGCGGGAAAGGGAGCGATGCGTTTTTGAAAGTGATTTATGTGAAGCTAAATAAATGACGCGCCATGGCCGGCTTGTAAAGTGCAGCGTTTGAATGGAAGTGTAGCGGATTAACGGCTCCGCTGCTCTCTTTCTTTACTCCTGCCAAGAGAGCCATGCTGGACACGACCACTCGCCATGAGCTCAACATTTCCACTCCTCACGTGTACTGTGGTGTCAACCATTGGCCCTGGAAAGCGTTTTCTCATAAGTCCAGCAGAGAATGATGATGGGAAATACTGACCCCTCCCCCGTTTCCGTTTAAGAAAATACATGCAATTTAATTGTCAGTCAAGTGAATGCATTAGTAAATAATACATGAGATCATTTAGTTCCACTAAAATGCAGCAGAATACAGCTGGACTGTTACCGTTTCACCAGGTGTATTATTTTCTAGTGTTTTATTAACAACATGTTTCATTAGATTTAAACTTGGAAGTTTGCTGGATGTTGATCAGTCTCATAAATACAGTCATCAGTAATGCGTCATATACTGTACACTGCAGTGTTGGTTTACTGTGAGGGAAAATAACCTTCAACTAAAGGGATAGTTTACCCAAAAATGAAAATCCGTCATCATTTACTCACCCTCAAGTTATTCCAAACCGGTATGAGTTTCTTTCTTCTGCTGCTATTTTTTTAATAAGTCTGTATAGCCTTCATTTTTTTTTTTTTTTTTTTTTTAATACTCCAGCTTAAACCTATTTATTTAATTTAGTTGCCAAGGAAATATTTTCTAATTTTCGAGTTTAGATTTTCTACAACTTATACTTTATTTTATTTTTAAGGTTTAGTTTTAGTCAACAATTTGAAGTTATGTTCTTTTAGCTTCTTTTATCAAGTTGTTTGGCAGAAAAAAAGTTTTCCTGTTTATTTGGAGTGCAAATAAATCTTTTATTTTTGAGGCATGTTTTTATTTCTAAAAATACCTTAGAAACTCTCTATTTTTTAACTGAAGTGACAGAGCCCCTCCCCCCCCAACCAACCGTTTATATGCTATACTAATTATACTACCAACTATATATAATTCTGTTCACACAGACATATGGATCCGTTTACATGATTGATTTAGTTCTTATTGCATTATTTTTTTTATATCTAATATACTAGATTAATGGTATATCGACAACAGCCCAAATAATAATACAAAATAATTTATTTTTATTTGAAGCAACCTGATGAACAATCTTTTTCTTTGTTGATGTCTGTGGTTGTCGCTGTGTTAAGGTTGTATTGGGTGGGCATTGATGGAGTTGTGAATCTGTGTTTTGGACAGGTATGGATGAAAGGACAAGCCAGGCATCATGGGCCTCAGGTGGCCAGTCCAGCCCGTCCTATGAGTCCTCTAGGGTAAGACCGGTCTTGCCTCGTCTCGCCTCACCTCAACTCACTCGCCACACACACACACACACACACACACACACACACACACACACACACACACACACACACACACACACACACACACACACACGACAGCTACTGCAATGACAACACTACAGTGCATTTCCATTTGTCCAGTTCAGAGTTATCTGTCCTCAGCAAAATGAAACATTAGTGTCTGATTTGCTTACAGGCTTTCTATTACCATAATATCACTACTGAGAGATGAGTCCAATTCCTCCAAAATTATTTTAGAAAGACACCACATCTGTAGGCTCATGATGGTAGATGCGCTCACTTTACTGACAAGAAGAAACACAATGATTTTAATCAACTGTGAAGATGTTTCACGCAGGGTCTTCTAGTACAGTGAACATTTTTCACTGTAAATTTTAAGGTAACTTGTGTTTTTACTTAACAAGACAATACATGTACTTAGTAAGATACCATACGGTGGAACACTACCGTTCAAAAGTTTGGGGACTGTAAGCTGTAATGTTTTTTAAAGAAGTCTCTTATGCTTACCCAGGCTGCAATTATTTTGAAAACAGTAATATTGTGAAATATTGTTGCAATTTAAAATAATCTATTTCTCTATTTGAATATATTTTAAAATCGAATTCATTCCTCTGATGGCAAAGCTGAATTTTCAGTCTTCAGTGTCACATGATCCTTCAGAAATCATTCTAATATGCTGATTTGCTGCTTAAGAAACATTTTTTTTAAATATTATCAGTGTTGAAAACAGTTGTGCAGCTTAATATTGTTGTGGAAACCCTGATACATTTTTGATTAATAGAAAGCATTTATTTGAAATAGATTTTTTTTTTTTTTTTATCAATGTGAATAAATGTATTCATTTCTTTAAAAATAAACCCCAAGCTTTTGAACGGTGTATTTTCACCATAAATTATAAGGTAATTCATACTTATAAGAACCATCTTTTATAACTTAATTTTAAAATAAAACGACATGTATTGTCATATTAAATTGATTGCATTTGTACCATATATTTCACAATAACTGTGATGAGGACTTTATTTAATAGTCAACAGTAGGGCTGGGCGATATAATTATAATTAGCGCGCTATAAATTCCCTCAATAAAATTATAACAAAAGTTCAATATAATGTTTATGTGCCAAAAGTGGAACGAACCAGCGCTACTCGTTTGATCTGTGCCACACAGAACATTTATCAGCTCGGCTTAAACGACAGCACAGCTCAAGCTTACTAGAGCAGATGCGTTTACTCGCTGATCAGTCTCGATCACACGACCACTAAACAGCGCTGTGAGATCCAGTGAGAAGCACTTGAATTCAGCGAAAAACACAATTGTGTCTGTGATTTAAACAGATTAAAACCAGATGAAAACGCTCTGACAGAAACAAAATAACATTGTGCCATGAACGATACAGTCAGAAGGCTTTTCAATCTACAAATCACCGTCATTTACCATGGATTTACTGTAGTAACACTAACTGTGGGATATTCATATCAAATTGTATTATATTATAAATGTAGATGTATTAAATGAGTAATAGAATATAATTAGGCTACAGTATTTTTTTTTATTAAGCTTTAGCGCCTTTGTATTTATACTACCGGTAAATGCATTTAGGCTACTGTTTTTCAGAACAAATACCTTTTACATTTTACTATAGTAGTGAGGTGCCATATGTGTGGTTTTACATATGGTTTTAATTATCTAAATGTATCTAGCTACTGTCAAATGTACATTTCTAAGAGACATAACATGTTATATTATTAATTTTCCACTCTGCAATGCAAACTGTGCCAAATATAGCATCAAAGTCAGGCAACACAAACCTGTTTCAGAATTTGAATCGCCCGTTAACATGCTGAAACTAAGAAATACATTTTTCTATTGAGATATTTATTTTGTTAAAGTCATCCTGCAGTCAATAATTTTGTCCCTTAAAACTCATCTTTGATCACCAAAATTACATATTTAAACCCTTTTTCCTTGAAAATGCCTTAAAATAGCTTGAATGTAACCGTCCCTCATTTCAGCTCAGAGATCCACTCATTGATGATCACACGTTGACGTGATTGGTTACAAGGTAGTTTGTGACGTCAGAAACACCAGCGATTTCAAACCATGTTTTTGAGACTGTCTTTGGTTCACTGCGGTTTTAAGGAGAAAATACTTATGAATTTGCACAAGGTTTGTCTTAAAGCGTATTAAAAACACCACATAGACATATAAACAAAATTAAAAACTTGATTTCACCACAGAAACTGAAAAGCATTTTACTTAAGTTTACACATGCATATTTTTGACGTAGACATTATTATAAATGTTTTGAATATTCTACCTCAGATTTATGAAATGTTCACATGTTTGGCAAGTTTTTTGTCATGTTCTTCTGACAATACATTTGAAATTGACGGCCTGGTTTCTACAACTTTCACCCAGAAGCAAAAATCTGCCTTTAAACTGCCTTTTGACATTTATCGGGATAATTATTGATATCAACTGATATAAAAAAAATGATCACAAATTTATTTTGGCCATGTCGCCCAACCCTAGCAAACAACATTTTTTTATAACAGAAAGTTGTGTCATTTCCTTAGTGCCATTCTGTAAAATTTTCTCTGGCTTTTCTCTAATTTTTCTTAATGACTATTGAGAAGCATTATAGAACAGCTGCTCCACTCAAAGAACACACTAAAGAAAATAGCTTTTTGTCTTGCAAAATCAAAGAAGGAAATGTTTTTGTTTATTCAGTTTGTTAGAAGAGACAGATGAAAGTGCACATGAAGCCTACTTGACGTTATGATTATATATTAGTAGTACTCATGACAAATAACAAATGGTTGAAGTTTTTCCATGCTCAGCGTGTGTGGCTGAACCCAGTTGGTGCAAGAAGCATTGATGCATTGATACATACCATGAGCTCAGAATCAGATTGATTTTCATGCATGCAAATGAAATTCACCTCATCAAAATAAGAAAAAAAAAAATCAACCATGGTTGTGATTTTTATTTTACGGTGCAACCCCAGTGCAGATATCTCGCTTCCTATTTGTTTGTTTGTCTTTTCCACGGTGGTGTGTTCAGGGTGCCCTGTATGAATTTCATTTCATGTCAATCTCCTGTCACTTCCTATCAGAAATCAGTCAAATGTCAGAGGCTCTCACACCACATTGTCTTGTTTATTTCCGATGCCCTTCCCCTCAGCACTTCTATAGGCGATGGCTGCGCCCATGGCCTGATTTGAATTATAAGACGGAGACGCATGAGATATCTTTGCTCTAGGAGCATGGAAATTAGTAGTTGTGACATTGCTGGGGATGGGATCAGAAGACAGCTGTTTGCACCTCCACACACACGCACACGCACGCATCTGATAAACACAATCTAAGTGTTTAACTATACTAAAATACCGTGTGACTGAGTGCTTGCTTTTCCAAAGAGACATTAGCATAAGTGTTTATCATTTACTAAGCATTTAACCTACAATATAATCATCATAATTTCCAAGCCAGTGCCTTCAGCAAAGAAAATTTGCCTCACTTATTTGCACAAATGGCCATAACTTTCCCCATTATAGTGATGAATCCGTGTCCAATGCTGCATGGCACATTTTAGGCCAGAAAATGGCGAAGTTTCCTCTAAACTTGAGTTTGACACTATTCAGACAGGATTAGTTCAACATTATTAACAGAGTTCCTCTGTTATTTCATCATGTACATGCATCGCAAATCCTGTTGAAATAAATAACACTACATGTGTGATATTCATTATGTACACCACCGTTCAAAAGCTTGAGGTCAATAAGATAATATTAAAAAATGTAAATCATCGTTTCACCCAAACGTTTTGATCATTGACAATAATAAGAAATGTTTATTGAGCAGCAAATCATCATATTAGAATGATTTCTGAAGGATCATGTGACACTGAAGACTTTCCCATCACAGGACTAAATTTCATTTTAATATATTTTCAAATAGAAAACAGTTACATTTTAATAATAGAATAATCACAATGTTACAGTGTTTACTGCATTTTTTATCAAATAAGTAATTCCAGAAACATTTACATCTTGCAGACCCCCAGACCTTTTAATGGTAATGTACATAATTAAGAGAAGGTATTAAAGGGAATGTAATATAATGAAGATTATTCCTGTATATAGTGGCCACTCTGAACTGTTCTGTTCATGATCAGACTCTCCGGATTTAAAAAAAAACATCAGATTTTTTTTTAACATCAGATTGGATGTCAGCAGTACTCAGACCACCAACTGTTGTTTTACTCACATTCAATGCATAATGAATGTGCACCAGGCAGCGCAACAAGACATTTTTGTTTAGTTATGGTTTTTGACGAAGGTCAAATTAAATGAGGAAAAGCATTGGGAAAAAATTATATACGGTAATCATAGACGTTCCTATCCGGACATGATTAGATTTCTCACAGGACCCCAGAGTTAGACGAAAACCAGCAGGTAATTTGCTACATCATTTTTTAGAGAGAGTATGTAAGAAAAACACAGATGTTTTCAATTCGGACAGAATTAAAATCACAAAGTCTGTGTGTTAAACAGTTATAGAATTTAAAGCCTGGAATACACTTTTACAATACAACTTTTGCCCAGAATTTTGCTCCGATTTTCAGTCTGGACGTGTCTGTGCTAGTTGCTCAAAGCCAGAGCCAGAAAATCGCATGGTGTATGATGGGCACAGACTTGATCTGAGACGATTTTAGAACACATATTGTTTTCATTTGTCACATGTCTCCTAGAAACAAAGTGTTTCTGTGTGAGTTTGTTGTTTTCGGAACAACTTTAAAGTCTGGTGTGACCCTCAGTCATTAAGTTGTTCTGTAACCATTTACAAAGTCCGCAAATGTATGATGACGTGCGTTTAAAATCTGAACAGATTTTAAAAGTTGCGTAGTGTATTCCAGCTGTAACGCTCACAAGTTACTGTTCAGACTTACTTCTTGATATTAATTGAATCGCAGAAGTGTCCATTGCTCATGGCTAACAACAAAGTTGGAAAGCTATTGTCTGAGGTTTGATCTTATCGTGAGAATCTATAGCACAGTTTTTTTGTGGTTTACCCTTAAAAAGCCACAAGAGCTTCAACAGAGCTGCAGCTGGTTGCTGTGAAGTGCCTGCTAAAGATTTAATCTGCGTCTTCATCCGTCCCATTACTTTTTCACAGTCTTGCTGCGCTCAGATGTCCTATCCGATAACTAAATAGAGGCTACGGCTTTTCTGTATTTCTGTGTTTTCTGCAAAGAACACAGAATCCTATCGACCAACGTTTCCCTTGGTCTCTCGCACGGAAACTGTGAACCATTTTAAGCAGGCTCTTTTTCACAAAAGTGACTCTCTCTCACCTTCTCCCTCTCTGTACGCGTGTGATTAGTGGACTGTGAACAGACTGGAGCCCCGGCTAGCTGACCTTGGCCCACAGCCAGGCATCACATCCTGGGCAGCCGTGGCTTCAGGCCTCCCATCTGACAGCCCAACCACCTCTGCCGCGCACCCCGCTGTCCCGTAATGCCTCGCTCCCGTCCATCACACCACTATCACCCATCCCCAACGCCTTAAAACGGCGTCAGGGCATTCACCTGGGATGCGAAGGAGCATCTGAGATATTTTTTTCTTGAACGGAGTGCTGGTTTGCAACGTGCTAGCTATTTAAAACAGACTAACCATTCGCCGGTGACAGCGAGAGCATGCACAACAAGCCGTGCATTCAGAGATTACAAGGCAGCAGTGATTGATGATCTAATGCTCTCACCGATCGCCTCAACGTCTCATCTTCCCATACACTGTCCTTTTCCGACACTCTGGCAAATGACATTGGGCATTCTCGAAAGGCCAGGAAGGAAAATATGGATAATAAAGAGGTTAAAGGGATAGTTCGACCAAAATCATTCCAAACGTATAAACACAGTTGAGCTTCCTCAAGAACCAGTGAGGTTTGTTCTCACATGATAAGCAAGTAGTTGAACTTCTGTGTTTACCATATTTGATGAGCTCTATTAACATTGATCAGTGCTTTTATGTGAAGAAAAGCCTAAATTTACGCATTAAATTACGCCCTAAAGACTTGGATTTACGCATGGGTGGAATGGCGGATATATATTGACAACGATATAAAGGGTGTATGGTTAGAGAGCTATATCGTTGATATCGCACTAAATATTGTAATATGTAAATATTTCCGCATAGCACAGTACTATTTGAAGTTATTAAAAATAGTTATGAAGTGCAAAAAGCCGTGATCTAATTGTATTGCTTGCACATTTGACGTTCATTTTCTGTAGTATTAATTAGGGACGCTCATAATAAAATAGTTACCTGTTAACCAACAGTACGAATTTTGATCAATTAATACTATTGGTTAAATCGTTTAAAAAGCAATTTTTCAAGATTTTTTGAAAACCCTTGTTTTTGCATGTTGCATGTTTTTTCTTTTTTTTTAAACACTATACATGAAAATTTGGGATTTTAAAAGGAGGAAAAAACTGATAATTTGGTTTCCTTTCCATGAACTTGTTTTTGGAGGGCGTCTCAAAAATGAACCGAAACTCAGCATATAGCCTACTACTTTTAGCACAGTTTTTTTCTTTCGTTTTGCTAATCTGTTAATTATTTAAGTGGAATATATTCATTCCTTTTATATATAGCCTATATGATTTTATTCTGTTTTTCTCCGTTCACAGAAGCGCTGCAGGTGCGTTACGTGTCGATGTGTGAATCCTCGTGTTCTCTTGTTTATGCTGCTATTTGCACATGTAAAACTAAACCCCTGGAAAACAGATCCCTGTTTTTTTAATGGGTCACGACACTCATTCATTCTAATTGAATTTAATTCTAATTTAACAATCTTGTCAGTTAACGGTTAGTGATCAGTTAGCAAGCTTCGGTTGTCGGCTAGGGGAAAAAAACAACTAAATTAACATCTCAAGTATTAATTACTAAATTAAATAAACCTACTGTACCTGAAAGCTTAGTTTTTTTTATTTGTATCTTTGTCTATTTTATTTGTCCTATTGTTTGTAATTTGCTTCTTTGTTCATTTTTAATAACAACACTTAAAGTAACAGTAATGACTATATCGTGATATATGTCTTTATTGTGAAATAAAATTTCTCATGTCCCGAAATAAGATTTTGGTCGCATTCCCCACCTCTACTTGGATTAAACTGCTCGATTTGTATAGATTATATTCACAAAGTCTTTATGAACTTTTTGAAGCTTGAAAGTTTTGGTGGTATGGACAGTAATCTCTCAGGTTTCATTAAAAATATCTTCATTTGTGGTCTGAAGATAACGAAAAATCTTATGGGTTTGGAACAACATGAGGGCGAGTTACTGATTTGTAGTTTTTTTGGTGAGCTATCCTTTTAATTGTATTTGTGCCTGCATCTGTGCACTGTCCTTTAGTTGGAAAGCTTACTAAATCATGCTTACCAAATTGCTGGGGAGCACAGTGCAGTTCTGGGGCTTGTTTTTGCCTCCCACCCCCTCCCACTGTGTCTCTTCAGGGGAGAAGCTATTAGTCAGGCAGTTCATAGCGTTATTAACACAAACGGCAGGGGCACGATAGGGAACCTCTCTGAATCGATTCTGCCCCACACACCGCTCCACTGCCTTTGAAATTACTCAATCTTCATCTGTTTGGAAAACAGACACAAAAACACTGATAGTAATAGTCCATGATATATACTTTTTTGAAAGCGGAGAAGGAAAATCCCAGAGTAATGGACAGCCGGCAACTGTAGGCCCCTCAGGAGAGAGTTAATATGGTTTGGGGGACACATTTGACTGTAGCGCCAGGCGGATTTTCACCGGCTCCAGGATTAACACAGCCACAGCGTATCTTTATTGGGGGGGACTCTGAGTTTTAAAGGCCCACACTGTGACCGATATTTAGACCTAAGCCCCCCAAAGCTGATAACGGTCATGAAAGGGCAGACCTCAGCTGCCGAGGAGAGAACCTGACTTATTTATTCTACTTTTTTAAGTACAAGCAGGCTTTTGGCATAAATACCTGATCTGTGTCGAGCTCTAGTCAACGCCTCACTTCCATCAGTTTTATGTCATTTTCTGATGCATCATACTGCCGTTTTGCATGCACACAAATCCTTACCAGTCTAGCACTTTTCTTTAACAATGTACAACTTAGAAATATCATCATGAATGAAGGGCGACAAAAAGTAGGATTGCCACACAAAACCAAAATGTTGCCTAGCAACGGCATTCACAACCGAGCTAGAAACTTCTAGCAGCATCTCTAAAGATGTGCGCTAGTAGTGACACTGATCTTAATAAAAATCAAAACACAATGCACTCAATCATTTTTAATGCTCAAAAATGCCTGAATTATTGTTATATCACTATATAGAATGGCAGTGTGTTCACATTAAAGAGAATGGGATCAAATAAACCATTTTAATGTGACATGAATTTTGTTGATAAATGCTAATGTTTTAATAGCTGTTTTTTTGTTGTTGTTTGTGCGCCATTAACTTTATTACAATTACACAATCGCAGCACAAGCGCTATCTTCTCTTCAGTTCTTTTGTTTGCCCATTTAATGAAATTCATCAAAGACTTTAAAGAAAGTGTTTTTTAATGAGGAGAGTGGAGAAATATCGATCGTTTCGGGGGACAGTTGACCATTTGTGCGCCCCTCTTTTCCCCCAGTAATTAGAGGAGTGTCATAGCACTCAATTAGCAGGTCCAGCTAATAATGTGTTTAATGCTGTGATCTCTTTCCCCCAGGGGTTTGGAGACAGCACTCATTATGCTGATCACTTGAGTGACAGTCGATTAGTGTCCCATGAAGGATTGTCCCCAACACCTTTCATGAGCTCCAGCATAATGGGTGAGTATCCAACCCGTTTCTCTTTCACACCCATCTTTGTGTCATCAATCCATTTAGCAATGTGTGGACCGATCAGACGCTTCTCTCTCAAGGCAGTCACCACAGGAAGTGCCAGAGATGGGTGAGGGTGTTGTCGTGTATTTAATAAATGTATATTGTATCTTATGCTCACCAAAGCTGCATTCATTTGATCAGAAATGCAGTAAAAACTGTAATATTGTGATATATTATTACAATTAAAAATAACTATTTTATATTATAATATATTCAAAAGTGTAATTTAGTCCTGTTATGGCAAAGCTGAATTTTCAGCATCGTTACTCCAGTCTTCAGTGTCACATGATCCTTGTTCAAAGATCATTCCAATATGCTGATTTGATGCTCAAGAAAGATTTCTTATTATAATCAGTGTTGAAAACAGTTGTGCTGCCTAATATTTTTGTGGAAACACTGATAAGTTTTTTTCCGGGATGAAAGAAACGTCAAAAGAACAGCATTTATTTGAAGTAGAATTTTTTTGTAACATTATAAATGTCTTTACTGTCACTTTTGAATAATTAAAGGCGTCCTTGCTTAATAAAAAGTATTATTTATATGACTTTTAAAAAAAATCTACATTCAAAAAATTATTATATAAGAAAATATCCATGATTCTTTTTAACTTAAAAATGAAAATCATGATGACTTGCCGTTCAGTGAGTTAGTGAGATTCAGTAACTGCCTTGACAGATTCACTGAAGAATTTGTCAGAATGATTCACACAGATGTGTCTTTTTTTTATCTATTCATTAATTAGTCATTTGTTCATGAATTGACTTCACAACTACACCGACCAATAATACTCATATATAATAATGTAATATTATATATTATACATAATTAATTGTATATAATATTATTTATATTAATAATAGTAGTTAATATTTATATATATATATATATTTTTTTTATTTTTTTTGCTGCTGCTGCTCTCACATCTGTCCCCAATTTCTGAATCTTCCTGTGGTGTGACTGTCTTCAGGAGTTGACCCTCCCCAGGGTGGAAGTCACACCATCAGTACAGTTTTCCATCACAAAAGACTGTCTTCTAGCTAGCAGAAAAGCCACTGGCTTCTTCCAATGGCACACTGCATTTTGCAGAGGAGAGTGAGAAGGGAAGGGAAGGAAGGGAGAGAGACACAGAGAGAGAGAGAGAGAGAGAGAGAGAGAGAGAGAGAGAGAGAGAGAGAGAGAGAGAGAGAGAGAGAGAGAGAGAGAGAGAGAGAGAGAGAGAGAGAGAGAGAGAGAGAGAGAGAGAGAGAGAGAGAGAGAGAGAAGGAGGGGTTTCAGGGGTGGTAGTGAAACAAACAGATGGGCCAAAGATCATTTTACACACACAAACCCCTTCAGCCACGGGCTCTCTCAAATCTCTCCCTTCTTTCCGAAGAGGTGTGTGAAACTCTACTGAACTCGCTCCACTTCCTCTTTTGCTTCCAAAAATGTTTCAAATAATTTTCCATCTGTATCAGTTTGTGCTTGTTTGGCCCCTTGTTTTTACTGCTTGTTTGCTGACTCCACAGACACAAAGCATAATACACATTATTCAGCATCAAGATGACGTGCAGTGCAGATTCTGAAAGTTGCACACGCTTATTTCTGTGTAATTTTGGAACATGTTGATGTTGTGGATTATTTTGTCATTGTGAAGTGCAACGTTTTTTTTTTTTTTTTGCATCTATTACTGTGTGTATATATATATATATATATATATATATATATATATATATATATATGTATATATAAACACTATTTTCTGTTATAGTGCTATCCTTCTAAAATTCAGTATATTACAGGCATTTTATGACACAAATTTTATTTTTAATAAGCAGGGTGTCATTTGTTTATTTATTTGTTTGTGCAGACTTTTTCATGACAGTTGGGGTGATCTAGCCTTTAAATTGTACATTTTATATATATATTAATATTTAAGAAACGATTGTTAATTAAAAAAATCTGTAGTAGCATTTTCTTAGATATTTATCAGGTGAAATGGCTTGATTAGAGTCACAATGGACTCTTTATCCCTTGAACGTGATTGATGGATGTTGTTATATCTGAGGTCTCTGTGTCTGCCGCTATTGTGATGTGCACGCACATGACAGCTTTATGGGCTGCTGAACCCCGGCTCTTTGTAGCATCACCCTGGAGACCGGTTGCCATGTAAGGTGGCAAGTTTACGGATGGGTGCTATTGCACGAAGCCCACCGAAACAAAATGTTATCTCTATGCCAATTGATCTGCGTGTGTGTGTGTCTTGTGCGGGTGCGTGTGTTTGTGGGTGGTGGAGGTAGGGAGGATGTTTGGTTTTCCTCTGTCCTGTTGATGCAGCACTAATTATGCCTATAACTAGCAAAATATGGAAATGATCTGGAACAATGATGTGTCAGGGAATTAGACAATCTGATTGCACGGCTAAATTGCCTGCGCTATCTGGCTGGGATTGGACGAGAAGGCCGAGTCTTATCAAATTGAATTTCAGCAGTAATATCTGGGATTTACATGGAATTACCCATTCCGGAGCAACCTCATTAAATCATCTCTGAAAGGTTATTACTCACCAATGAAAAAGGCAGAGCTCGAATGTGAATGTAATACAATTAAACATTACCATCACATGGCATTTCTGAGGGAACCCTGGCCTATAAGGAACTCGTGGGTTTATGTGACCCATTTTTTCCCTGCGTGTGCCATTTAAAAACAGAGCCGTGGTAATCTAAGTGGATTATCTCGAGACAAATCCCGGTGGTCTGCAGTTTCTTGAAGGAAATAGAAATCGTAGGCTGGAACTTGTTTGTTTACCTTTTCAAACTGTTTGTGGCTGATAAAACCTTCTAGAATCTCGCTTTTTAAATCAGACACATAAATAAGTGATATATAAAATGTAGCTTAATTTAAACGGTGGAATCTTAACACGTAAACGACCTTGTTTGTCCACGCCGTTAATGTAAGAAACGCCTCAGATTTGCTTTTATAAACCATTATCACATTAAGCAGTTTAATTTGAATGCTTCATTTAGTAGTCTTAAATATGCCTGTGGGGGCTGAATGCGTTGACCTGGTTCCATGCGCTCTCTAAGTGAAGTATGACATGTTGAGAGCAGCTTGGGGTTACCTGGGGTCAGCTATTGTGTATGATAATGAACATGTTACAGTTTATAGTGCTAGGCAGATGGCTGGTAATGACTGTTTATTTGACATAACATTTTAATTAGAGTAACCGCTGCTTGTTCTGAATAATGGAGATCCATTTTAAAGGTCACACTCTGTTCTGCTGCGTTTGTATTGGATTTGAGCTTACAGATGAACATATCAGATGTTAGGTGCAAAATGTGATTCCTCTCCGGCATCCGCCTTTACTGTGCATTTCCTTTGAGGTTTGTGTCTGAATGGATAGATATTTCACTTTGTTGCATCATCTTTATATATGGCGCATTTAGACCCCTGGGGTGAGTGAATGTGTAGGTGTGTATTCCCCCATGTGTCTGTGTGTATGCTTGAAGAAAGCCCATGGGAGGGTCTGTGTCAGTGTCGAGGTCAGAGGTCAGTTAGTCTGGGGCGCACGTGCCGGCGCCCTGTTCCAATCCTCTTACCCAGCATCCTCGTCGTCTCTCGGCATGCACGTGGGACCCACACTGTGACGGCTAAAACCATCCTGCGCTGTACACAATCCTCTTGACGCGGCAGCTGACGACATCGAGTAATGCATAATCACAAACATTGTCCAATATAAATGCAGTTCTGCACAACATATAAACTATTTCTGTTCCGTTTTCAGAAGCCTAAATATAATTTGTACCACAATTTAACCCTATATTAAATTTAAAATAACATTGATCAGCCAACCGTAGCGCACCGTCGGTGTGTGCGTTCGTGTGTGTCCGCTTGTAATGTGAGGATGGGGCGTGTTGCATAATGATGACTCTATGTTGAAGTTTTAAGCAATATTTAATAAGGCTTAATGCAGCTTTAGATTAAGAAGAAATCTGCATGCACGTAGAGAATCCTGCTTCTTCAGCGCAGCCAGTATTTACTGGTCAAACAGATTACCATCACAAAAGACAAATTAGTTTAGTACTTTGTTGACATTCCAAACTCCATGTGTAACAGTTGGCACAGACAGAGCTGCCCTGGCTTTAGACTTGATGAAACGGTCGACAACAAAACACAGTACATGAGTTTTAAATTGAATGTTCATGGGGAAAAAACGCCGCAATCAGTTGTACATGTGTTTTGCTATAAACTTCCTGAAGTCTAAGGTGAGGCTTGTTGCTCTGAAGCTCAGGGGAAGCTTGTGATTTACATTAGATGGGAATAACGCGCATACATGATCTCAGGAAGCTGTGTTTCCTGGAAAAACGCTCACCTCCGCTGGAGTTTAGTGCTGGTCTGTCAGGTCACGCTCATTTCCAGTTAACCTTTTTTCCCAAAGCATGCTGTTAAATGGCCAAAGACTGGGCCAAGCGTAATCTGCGGCTGCAGAACTCCATGGAAACCTGCAGAATTAAAACACCAATGATTCATACAGTTGTCTTCTTTCCGTCCGCATTTTGAATACTTTGAAAATGTTTTAGTGATGCAGTAAAATTTTAAAACATTAAAAATGGCAGAAACCATTGACGAAACAGTGACGTTTAATAATAAGCGCTTCTCCGATGGTGCGTAATGATCATGTCAGTATGTCTATTTCATACACACAACTTAGATAAGCTACAACAGGTGAACATCTCAGAAGGGTGGATGCACTTCATCATAGCCAAAAAGGATGCTAAAGTAGTAATATTGTTCAGTTGAAATAAGGAGAGATGAGACATGTCTTGTTGCCGAAGAACTTTACTACTACTGGTTTTATTTATCACCTGAGAACACGACACCCTGAACAGCATATTGAGCTCAATTACCCAATGAAAAGAAAGAGGCTCAATGAAAACTTTAATTTCGGTTTGGGTAAAAGATTTATTTTG